AAGATTTTTGAAACCTCTCATTAGACTTAAATATTTTATTAATTTAAATTATATATAAAAAAAGAGTTAATTTTAATGATGGGCCCTTGAAACTCATATTATTATATACGTTTATATATATAAATTATATTTTCATACATGTATAATCTTATTGACTTAAATGGCATGAAATCACTTTAATTGTCTACGCAGATTCTTAAAATCTCACGCAACAAATAAATCAAAGGCCACATATGTTAATATTATGATCAAACCATACCCAAAACAATCATCATGAAATTAACAAATTTTCGTGATTAATAAGCAAGCATAATGATAAATTTTCAAACACTAAGAAATTAGTAATTCAATTGAACTATATTTTTTTGATCACTAAGGGGTATAAGATCATATCTAGTCTCATATATAGTTAGATAGTGATCCATGAAAACTTGAAATAAAAATGTGATTCAAACCCATAATCTTTAGCCGATGCTTTAAAACTTGAGAACATACTCTTATATTTCCTAATATATTATCAAACACTAAATTTGGATAGTTCTCATAAAGCAAGCAGTAAGATCATGAAGTCACAATTTTGAAGAACTAGATTGTTAATCCATCTTTAAGCATTTAAATGGATTTAAATATATATTAATCACCAAGTCCGAACAAATAATCACTCAATACATGCCCATATTAAAAAAATTAAACGGAATTTCACAGGTTCCTTCTTCAATATATATGCCCATAAAATTTTTCACAGCCATAATCACATTAGCAATCCTTCAAGCAAAATATTTTAGCCAAACCTGTTAATGCAGGCTCAATGCATTTTTTGAGAAGGAAGTCAAGACCTCATCCATGAACCAGGTCACTCTGAATCATATGCCACACACAACGCCATGCATCTTGTGAAAATACAGGAGCCTTGATCTCAACAAAGGCTGTATAGGACGGTGCAATATCCTGATTCCTCTTGTATTATTTTTTGAACTTCACGATTGCTGCTCTCTCTCATTCCTCCCCCCAGTGCTTTTCTACGTGTTCATACCTACTCCTCCATGCTCTTTTTTTTTACTCCTCCTATTTTTTTTTTTTGTTGTGTTCGTTTCTAGCTTCCCTTCCTCACTCAGCCTCTTTTTCTTTCCCCTAAAAATCTGAAGCCAAAATCACAGGCTCTCCCTTTTTTTTTTCCGGTCAACTCCGTTTACCGCTGAAGCCACGGTCTTCTTCTTCCTTGTGCATGTCTGGTTTTTCATTTCTTTCTCCATTTTCGTTTCTCTCCTTCTATGCTCTGTTTTCTTCCATTTTTTCTCGTCCATCCTCGGTCTCTCCTTCCTCCATTTTTCCTCATCCTGATGCTCCGTTTTTGCTTCCTTTTCTGTCTCCTCTCAGACTCACGTTCTCAGTCTTTTTCTTGTCTGTTTTTATCTATTTTCTTATCCTCGATTTCTCGTCTCCATGCTCTATTTTTTTTTTGCTTCTCATCTCTCTCTTTTCTTCCTCTCCTTTTCTACTCTGTCTCTGTTATCCTTTCTCGTTCTATGCCTCTCGTCCCCAGTTCTTTGCATGTTCTCCATCTCTCCCTCCTTCAGTCTTCCTCTTTCCCTCATCTCTAGTCTTTCTCTACTCCCCCTCCATGCTCTGTTTTTTTTCATTTTTTACCTCTCTCTCGTGGACTCCCTTTTTTCATTTTTCTTCACCTTTTCTTTTTCTCTCGGTCCCCCTTTTTCATAAGTATAGAGTGTGATTAATAAGTTTTAAACCTTACCAGGTCCTGCTTCAGAAGTTTGCATGGGAGATGGAAAACCGATTGCGTGTTTTAGATTACTGCATGCAACAGCATTCTCGTGCCTATGTTCCTGCTTTGTTTGCTCGTGTGTGTTACTACTATCTGTGTGCGTTTGCTTTGCTCTTCTTTTTTGTGTGTATCAGCTGGCTTGTCGGGTTCTGTTTCTGTGTTTACTGTGCACGTTTGCTTCTCCCTGGTTTGCTACTGCTGTAACATGTATGATTTTTGTTTCTCTCCTTCTGTTTTTTTCTTATGCTTTCGTGTAGGTTAGGGTCTCTCTCTCTCTCTCTCTTCTTCCTTTCTGCGTTTCATCTCTGCTTCTTCTTCAAAATGCTCATGAGTACGTACGTATTGCTTTTTTGCTGTGTTATTTTTTCTTTTTTCTCTCATCCAAGGCTGAGCAGATGGCCAGGAGACATAAGGGCAAATGCACATGTATTCTGACTGAAAGAACTATTCTGGAGTTGATGGTTAACCTTTGGTTTATATATATATTTATATATTTCTTAAAAGAAACCCCAACTCTCTCTCTATATATTTTTTATTATTTTTTTATGTTTATTAATTTCAAAAATTAGATTAAGGGATTAAAAATTTGATTTTGGATTAAACAAATATTTTAAAAAAAAATCCTAAAAAGGATTAAATTTTATTTTTGTATTTTTATATATTTTGGTTATTTATTATTATTTTTATTAAATTTAAAAAATGCCCGGATAAATTACGGTGTTCACAAGGTTGATATTTTTTCAGTTGAGAATCATGAAAAACATCATGAATCCCAGATAATTGTGGTCGTAAGGTGATTTGGTAGGCAACCGTCCCAACTTTCTTAAGGATCTCAAATGGACCCATGAATCGAGGAGATAATTTATTTGCTCTGGTTGACCTCCCGATTCCCGTCACAGGTGAAATTGTTAGAAAAACATGGTCACCAACCATAAACTCCAACGGCCTTCACTGTTTATCAGCATAACTCTTCTGCCTACGCTAAGCCATTAGAAGTTTCTGCCTTATCATTTGAATCTTTTGTGTCGTTTGATCTACAATATCTGGACCCATAATGCTTCTCTCACTCAATTCGACCTAACAAAGAGGAGATTGACATTTCCTTCTATATAGTGCCTCATAAGGAGCCATCCCTATAGTAGAGTGGAAACTATTATTGTAGGCAAACTCAGCCAAAGGAAGATGGCTATCCTAATTGCCTCTCAATTCCAAGGCACAAGCTCTCAACATGTCCTCTAGAGTCTGTATAGTCCTTTCTATTTGTCAATCAATCTGCAGATCATACGCTGTGCTGAATTTTAATTCAATACCCATTGCTCTTTACAACGCTTTCCAACAATTTGAGGTGAACCTTAAATCATGATCAGGGATAATGTCTTTTGGCACCCCATGCAATCTCACAACTTCCCGAATGTATATCTCTGCCAACTTCTCCAATGAATCACTTATTCGCACTACCAAGAAATGGGCTAACTTTGTCAATCTATCTACAATCACCCAGATAGAATCGTGATTGGATTGAGTTCTTAGTAATCCCGAAATAAAATCCATAGATATACTATCCCACTTCTACTTGGGTATCTCTAGTGGTTGTAAGGTTCCTTCTGGTCTCTGATGCTCAATTTTAACCTTTTGACAAATTAAACACTGAGACACAAAATTTGTAACATCCCTTTTCATTCTAGGCCACCACCAATATCGCTTTATATCTTGGTACATCTTAGTTACTCCAGGGTGAATTGTATATCTACTCTTATATGCCTCATTCAGAATTTTCTTTCTCAAATCACCCTCATCTAGTATACAAACCTGATCTCGATATACAACATATCCATCATTACTGAAACCAAAGTCTGTGGTCTACCTTTCCTTCATATCTTCTCAAATTTTCAACAGATACTCATCCTCAAGCTGTGCTGTCCTTAACTCTCTCCAAAACTCATTGGTAATTTCTATGGAATGTAAACTATACAAAGTTAATTCCGATAAGTCATGCTGAATATACAAGTAGGATTCTAGCAATTTGTGCACTTGCACCATTAGACAAGTGACATGCAATGACTTTTGACTTAAGGCATCTGCAACCATGTATGCTTTCCCCGGATGGTATTTAAATTTGAACCTATAGTCCTTCAAGAACTCTATCCACCTTTTCTACCTCATATTAAGTTCCTTCTGATCCACTAAATATTTCAAGCTCTTGTGGTCACTAAGAATACTGAACACTGCTCCATACAAATAATGCCGCCAAATCTTTAGTGCAAACACAACTGCAGTAAGCTCTAAGTCATGGGTCAAGTAATTCTCTTCATGTAGCCTGAGTTGTCTAAAGGCATAAGCTATTACCCACTTATCTTGCATCAACACACATCCCAGACCCTTTAGAGATGCATCCGTATACACTTCATATGGAAATCATGGATTAAGAATAATCAACACCAGTGCCATAGTTAGTTTCTCCTTCAACTTTTGAAATGCAATCTCGCATTTGTCATCCCAAATGAATGGCTGATCTTTTCGGGTCAACCTAATCAATGATAAAGCTATCTGAGAGAAACCCTAGATAAATCTACGATAATATCTAGCCAATCCTAAAAAACACTGTATTTCGGTCATAAAACTATGTCTCTCCCATTTCAACACCACATCCACTTTATGCGGATCCATCACAATCCCTTCTGCTGACACAATATGTCTTAGAAATTGGACCTCTCGTGGCCAAAACTCACAGTTGCTAAGGTTGGTATAGAGCTTGTTGTCCTTCAAAATTTGTAGCACAATCCTCAAATACTTCGCATACTGCTCCTCATTTCAATAGTATTTATCAAAATGTCGTCAATGAATACCACTACAAACTGATCCAGGTAAGGCCTAAATACGTGATTCATATAGTCCATGAAAACTGTAGGTCCATTTGTTAACTTAAATGGCATTACCAAGAACTCATAATGCCTATATTTGGTACGAAAAGCCATCTTGGAACATCCTCCAAGCACACTCTTAATTGATGGTATCCTGACCTTAGGTCAATTTTTGAGAAAACCGAAACTCCTACCAATTGATCTAACAAATCATCAATCCTTAGTAAAGGATATTTGTTCTTCACCGTCACATTATTCAACTGTCTATAATCAATACAGAACCATAAGCTACCATCCTTCTTCTTAATAAACAGCACAGGTGATCTCTAAGGTGACACACTGAGTCTAATAAACCCCTATTCAAGTAACTCCTCTATCTGCTTCTTCAACTCAGCCAGCTCAGTTGGTGACATTCGATATGGTGCCTTTGAGATTAGTTTAGTTCCTGGCACTATGTCTATGGTGAACTCCAATTCCCTTTTTGGAGGCAAACTAGATATATCATCTGTAAATACCTCAGGGAATTCATTCACTACCCCAATCTTATCAATACTTCTATTGTAGACCCCATGCATTGAGAAGAAAACCATATAAGCCATACACCCTTGTTGCATCAATTTCTCTACTTGTACCACTAATAAGAGCTTAGACTCATAAGAAATATTAGTCGATGTAGTATGTACCAGTAACAAAACTATCTTCCTAGCACAGTCCAAGGTGGCATTATTTGCCATCAACCACTCCATACTGATAATCACGTCCAAACCCTTCATAGGAATCCAAATCAAATCGAGAGTGGTCAAATAATTTTCAAACCTCACTTCTACATTCAAACATAGTATGAAACAAGTGCAACCAAACAAAATGATATGCATTCCTAGTTAGGAACATATAATATCATATAACAAGTTTATGTACACGACTCAAATTGAAATCGGGCTTTACAATGAGAATGTACCAAGTATGCTAGCCCTTGCCCGATTGCCTCCCTGGCTCAGTCTCACTGGTAAATGACTTAGATTCAGACTCTGAATTTGATTTTACTTTTGAGGAATTAAAACTTTGTATGGAAGAGATTGGTTCAAGACTTGGCTAAGCACATGAGAGGCTTAATAGCACATGAATTCAGACCTAAAATGGACTATTTAGGGTGTTAATTTCAAGCCACAAGAGGCACACAAGGGTTTTCCATGCACTTGCACACAATGGATCAAGTTAACTCGTTAAAGCTCAAGATAGTTGTAATGTGATTAAGAGGATTTGAAGAAAATTTCAAATCTGATTCTAATACATATGGGCCATGAATTCCAAGGCTACCAAGGGAACATAAGAGCTTAATATGTCCATGCACATATGAGATTAGAAGAGCAACATTGAAATTATTATTCAAGTTGACTTGTAACTTAGACTACCTTTAACCTCACTTGACTTAATCAATTGTAATTAGTTTTGTGGCAACTTGTTTAGTAGATAACTCCCTATGAATTTCAGCTAAATAGATTTAGTGAGGGCTTAGGATGAATTTTGAGATCATTTAAACATTTCATTAGATTTTCATCTTCTAATTCATCAAGTTCTCTCACTTCTCTCTCTAAAATTTCACTCTGTCTCCTCCATATCTCTCAATCTAACCATCCACCTTCCACAAAATTTACATCATTCTCTTCCTCTAATCTTTCTCTACATAACCTAGAGCTTTTAGAAGAATCCAAGCCTTGCTACTAAGGGTGATTTTTAGGTGAAGATTTAGCCATGGACTTAAAGCTTCATCTTGTTCTTTACATGGAAATGCAAGGCTAGATTCTTGAAGGAGCTATTATAAGGAGGAGGAAATCTTGAGTTTTTATTATTTTCTAACTAGATTTGAATTTATCTCTCTATTTTCTCTCTCTAGAATTACAAATTTGTATGACTCTTTGATCTTGTAATTTCAAGTGACGATTCATATAATTGAGAGATAGTTGTTGCAACTTGAGTTTTGTTACTTTGAGCATATGATTTTCAACCTCTTTGAGGTTTATCATAATCTTGATATAGCTTGATGAGATTAATATGTTTTCTTGCTTGTCATAATCTTGCCTACTTGAATGCATGTGAATATCTTTATGAATCATGATCTTGAGCATGTTGATTCCATAATATGTGCTTGACCTAATTGACTTATGTTTGTGACACTTTAGTTTGGCTTCTCGCTAGCTTTGCTATGGCTCACTCTAAGACCTAATCTTAGGTTAGGGTTGGTTAAGAGATTTAACTAAGTGACTAAAATAAAAGAGAAGGGAGAGGAGACCAAACTAGCTAGGTTGTAATCAAATAAGGATAGGTGACCAAATCCACATTAAGAGTTCCTACTTCTAATAGTTTTACACACACCCATTCCATTCCCTCTAGAATTAGGTTTAATAGGTTAATTAGTTTGAAGGCTAAATCTTTCCCAAATCACCTTTACATGGTAGCACACTTCAACCTAAAATTTCCAACTTAGCCTCATCATAGAAGAATGACCTAGATTCACATTACTACATTAGTGTAACTTAGTACTATTTTGTAAAGGTAGTGACAACCTTGGTCAACATGTTACATTAGTCTTAATATGTTTTGTATAGCTTGGTTCAAATGGTGATTATCTTCCATCTTCCATCTTTCATAGTTCAATTCATATCTTCATTTCCTCATCACACCAGCCCAATTCAAAAAGGCAAGGTTCCTATTTCCAAGGAGTTAGAGCAACTCAAAAAGAAAAGAAAGTGAACAAGAAAAGAAAGAAAGTTAAAAAATAAAAAAGGGGAAAAGAAACTTATGAAGTGATGGTTGCTAGTTCAACATTATTGCCCAACTCATCCCCATCTCCATTCCTACTTACATTTCTAAAGATTGTCACCTATTTGAATTTTATTATGCAATGCATACTAGGGGGATCATTTTGGCCAAGACTAGTTCTTATAGAAAACCTTAATTTCTCACATGCATTTCTAAACTATCCTTTCATATCCTACATTACATCCATAATAAAGTCCTCTTGATTCTTGATTGCACCAGCTATATTGGTGGTGAAGATGTAGAAGTGTTACAAGCCCATAATATGGCAATTTTTTAAGGGAACTTGAGTGATATTACATACCCTAAACACTCTGAGTGAAGAGTGTATACAGTTAACTATGTGAGGCTACTCTTTGATATTGACTATTGTTAAAGGCTTGTTTGTAAAGTGAAAATTGTTTCTCTAAAATTATCACATTGATTTCAAATGGGTTAAGTTTCTTAGGCTCTTGGATTGTCAACCTTGGACACTTTATTTCTTTATTTCTTTATTTCTTTCTCCTTTTCTTCAATCTTAGTCTTAAGGGATGAAGGAGCATCTTTGTCATTGTTTTGCTCGGTGTGTAAAAGATAAGTATGGGAGAATTGATTAGACACATTAGTTACAAACTTTATCCACACATTTAGGACCTATTTTGCATTTTAGAGTTGATCAATCATTTGTTTTGTTAATATACTACTATAAAAAATGCATTTCAGAGCACTTATATTTTGCCTACAGGAGTACTTATCAAGCATGTCTAGAGCTAGTGCTCTCGTATAAATAGGAGCACTTTTGGGTGGTTGATTAGACACATTATTTACACACTATATCCATACATTTAGGACCTATTTTTCATGATATATTCCCTACCTTTATGCATTCTTGGTGTTAAAAGTTATAAAATCGCCTAAAAGGTGAATTTGTGCACTAAGGGCATTTTGGTCCAAATTTGCACTTTTATGAAAAATTAGTTTTTATTAGATTAAATTTCATATTTTCACAGATTTATAATGGTCCAATTGGTTTTTAAAAATTCATTTTGGTTTGGGAGATATTGCATAAAACTCACACTTTAGGGTTGTTGACTTGATTAACCTAGTTTGGGCTTTACATGTACATGTGTTTACATTGTACTTCTCATATGGCATTGCTCTTGAATTTCATTTATAAATGATCTTCCATTTAAATAATCAAGTCCTTGTGCAAAAATATAATTTATTTTGTCAGACATATATTATTAGATTAAAAAATTGTTATTTTGTGATTTAGGTGAATAAGTGCACTTAGACTTGTGTCAATTAAGCTAATGGCAAGCAAAGAAAGCTTTTAGGCTTCAGTTAGGCATGCAAAACCTTGCAAGAAGAGGAGAGGGAGCTTTAAAAATTAAAATTAAAATTTAAAATGATAAGCATGTGGCACTAAGTCAATCAAATCTCCTAATTAGGAAAGTCCTATCCTCTGCTTAATCCTTGTTTTGACTTTGTGATTTGGAAAATTAGATTTGTAGCCAATAAAATAACCTTGAAATTGGCTTCTATGCTTCCCTTCTAATCTGAACCTAATTTTCTTTGTGTCCAAGTTCATTCTAGGCTTGGTCCACATATATAATTTCGGCCAACTCACACACACATCACTCATCACTCACAAGCATCCATACTAATTCAAAGATGGAGCAATTTCATCCAATACTCATTCCATTCAATTATCTGCTCATTTCTCTCATTCTTTCATCTCTTCTCTTCCATCTCTCTTCATAAATTTTGTCCATCACCTATACTACACTAAGAAACACACACACACAACCCTAGTCTTCATTCATTCAACTATTCATCCATCCACAGTTTTCATCTCCAATGGTAGGTGAGTTTCAGTTTGGCCAAGTATGAAGAAGAGGTTTTCCATGGAGTTTGAAGACTAAAAGGCTTGTGGATCTTAGAGGAAGAGGAAAAGAATGAGGCCGAACACTTAACATCTCTTTGGTTTTTAATTACTCTACCCTAGTTTTCTTCAATGTCTTGATGTTGTAAGGCCATAATCTTAGTTCATTTGTGTGTATTGTTGAGAACTTTTTGGTTTTATTATGTTTTTGTATTTGATACTTCCTTACATTAATGGATGTTATCATAATTTTGAGATTTCCATTAGTGTCTTATCTTGCATTTTCTACATCATAATCTTAAGTAGTTTAGGCTTGATTTCTTGTTTTTCTCACTATAATCTTAAGTGGTTGAAATTTGATTTCTTTTTTTTCTCACCATAATCTTGGGAGTTTACATACCTTTTAGGAAGGCCCAAATCACTTATGCATAATTTACATCACACTTGCTCAATGCTTAAAATTAACCTAATTAGTTGAACATAAGACCTTAATTTATGAGTTGGGAAGGTTAAGAGACTAGAGATAATTTTTCTAGTTTTCTTCATTTTAGGCCAACAGGGTAAAGTAATCAAAAGCCAACTTAATTAAATTTTAAGCCAATGAATCACTCACTATTCCAACTCTAAGATCCTACCCTTCATAAGAAACCATAAAAAACACTTTAATCTAGTTTTAAAGCTTTATTTTAAATTTTAAGAAAATCAAATCAAAACCAATCAACCCTTTAAGTAGTTTATTTGACATTGGTTAGCTTTAACTAATCATAGTAAGCCTCCTCAAGAGAATTGACCTAAGTTGACAATTATCTACATAGTGTGAAACTTAGCACTATTTTGGTAGTTAATGTTGGAAGCACTCTCGTGGGCATCTCATGAGATAACGCTTTGGATAGTCCTATTGGAATGCTTTTAGAAGAAGTTCTCCCATAGATGGACCTATCAAAGCACTTTTGGATAGAAGCGCTCTGGAAATACTAGTGCGCTCTTACATAAAAGTGCCCTAATAACCTCAATTTTTAATTTTTTTTTACAATACTACATGTTACATAACTTTAAATTTATCTACAATATTCTAAAATTGAAACC